TCTGGTCTCGAATGACACCATCTCTTTATGACTTCAATTCAAAAGTACAAACACACTTATAAAATCAAAATGCTTAAAAACAATGCTTGATTTACATAGGAAAAATTATGTACAGTAATAAAATACATACACCAAAAAAAATCCCCCTACATTCTCTGCATAGCTAGAGGCTGTTCGGCACAGCACATTAGGAGCAAAAGTGAAGCGCAGATGACCCTTTATTAAAACAAAGCACATTTGCTTTTTTAAAGTCGTAATTCTGTCAAAAGGACAAGGAGCATAATGTGGTCCACTGCTCTGTGGAACGGCGACAGAGCCGCTAAAAGGTTGGCGGGTCCTTTCAGTGGGCTGTTATTTGTGTTATTAGGGGCTAATTGCAGTGCGGTTCGATGATGCTGGATAATCTTGGCTAAAGTGCATTAGGAGAGCTGGGCTTAAAGATGCAGGTCACACTTTCACACCACTGACCAACACACAGAGAAGTATGTGTGTTTGTGTGTGTCTGGAAAATTTTAATTAGCAAAGAGGAGCTTCAGCTAAGAAGCTAAACCCACTGGCGTTGAACATGTGTACAAAAACACTGGAACAAGACGAGAAAAAAACGTGTGGGAAAAAGTTGGCTAAAAATACACTAGGTGTATTCACAAACACTTAGGTGAGAGAAACTAGCGACATCACTGCTAACAGACAAAAATGTGCTTTAGTTGGGCATATGTGCATGCATTTAAAGGATGTTTCAACAAAAAATAAAAAAATCCTGTAATTTACTCAACCTTATATTATTTTAAACTCCGACTTTCCTCCATGGAGGAAAAGAGAAGAACTTTCGAAGAATGTTGATGCTGCTCTTGATTGGTGAGAGTCACATGGGTTTGGAACAAGTAAATGACAAACTTTTATTTTTTAGGTGAACAACCTTTTCAAAATTTGTAAAAAAAAAAAAAAATCTACATAACCTCTACCTTTCCAGCTACATGGACCAAAACAATTCTTTCCGTGTTTGGGATGCTCCATTTCCCCCCCCCCCGTGACCCTGGCAGAATGGATCAGACCAACCTTCGTTGAAGGTGAGGCCAGAACCCCATCTCCCCCATGCCTGTGACATAAGAGGAGTACACTAGCATAGCGTTAGTCGTTTTCTTCATCTCTCTTCCCCCACTTTCTCTCTCACTCGCTAGTGACAAGGCTGCAGTAACAGACTGAATCACACCATCTGTTTACTGCCATTTTCACTCAGTCAGCCACACACAAACCAAGCACACACATAAAGGCATGTGCATGATATAGTTAAAAAATGAAGTCACCTTGTGAAATATAAAGAGAGAACATTTTTCAAATTGTGGCGATGAACTGAGTCAAAAGGTCAGGGCTGAACTATGACCTTGAGAATATCAATGTTCAGCGCCACTGCCAACAACAACAAAAACATTTGCTGAAGCTTAAGCATGAAATGACAATGAGATCTGTTCCAGTGTCTATAGAGGACAACATCACATCTGGATCAGCGTCTCCACTGCTGCTGTCACTGTGTGTTTACAGCCAAGCTCCTCACCTGGACGCTGCAGGCATGCATGTGTGTGTGTGCACACCCGCAGCTCCTTTGTTTAAGGTAATCACATGCTCAGCGTGTGCTATACCTTGAAATAATCGCGCAAATGAGAGGCACGCGTGTGTAAACGCATGAAATGGAACAATAATGCACATATTGCATTTAAGATGCGACACACGCGGTCCAAACCCAGACACAATTGACCAGGAGCACAAAAGCAGCCATATAGTCGGTCATGCGACACACAGGCGCAGAGTGGGCGGCGCTGATGTATCAGAGCTTGACGAATGATTGCGGGAGGCGGGCCGAAAAAACACGCATGGCCATCGCGCCTGCCAAATCGATAGAGATGACCAGTAAGGTGGAGGGATGATGGATGGACGGATAAATGCAGAACGAACGAGACAGAATGAAGTGGTGAACGGGGACACTGACGGCGGTGACGTGGTCATGTTGTTGCATGTCTGATCTGCAACACGTCCACCCACGTGAGAGCGAGGGAAAGGCGGGGGAGATAGACCAAAAGAAAGAAACAGAGAATCGAAAGGAAGGACAAGAGATGGGAGGCGGTTCTAAAAGTAAAAGTGATGGAGGATGGGGAGTAGGGGGTGGTCCCGTGGGTGTTCCTTGTGCAAACATGATAGACAATGGGACGAGGGCGTGTGTGTGTATATGGTATGCGTGTTTGCATTCGCATGCGTATACGTTTGATGAAACTCTCGGTAACAGCCATACGTCACACAAAGACTTCTGTTGTGGTGACAGTGATTAAAACGTGCTAAAGGCGGGCCTTTGTTTATCAGCATGCATGAGCGCATCACTACTAGGTGTGTGTGTGTGTGTGTGTGTGTGTGAGGTATGTAATTAATGATTGGTTGTGTTTGGAAGTCACTGTTCTAGTTAGGAGCAGAGTGATAGTGAAGGAACCTCGCTGGACGCTAATGAGGGTTTCAGAGGGACTAACACAACACACACACAGACACTAAAATAGGAGTAATGAACAAAGCAGGTGTAATAAGAGTGAAAAAGTATGGATCCCCCCTCCCACTGTATTGTTATTTTGCCCTCCAACTCTCATCGACTGCAAATAATTTATCCTGTACTAGCCTATTCGAACAAAGGCAGTTACCCTGAGCACATTCACATATAATTCAAGCCTAATTGGTAATATCCCCACGACCCCACCCCCTCAGGCACAGGACTCCTATAGTGGCGACTCATTCACGTCAGTCATTCCCTTTCACAGTCCCTCTATTGAATTATAGGAAACAATTATTTAAAAATACTAGAACTGAATGACTTGCTCATGCATTCTTCTATAGATGCAAACAATTAATAAATGATTAATGATTTTTAACCCAAACCATCATGGTGGTCATGCACAAGGAATTATTAATGTATCAATGCAGATCTCCCCAGAGCAGGAGAGAGAATAACACAGCCTGACATGCAGGTACTGTAATACACCTGCATCATACAGCTGCCAGCAACTGCTTAGGCAAAGAAAATGATACAAAAAGGTAGTTGAAACTGTGGCTGTGTGGGAGGGGAAAACTAGCATGCACAAAATAATCTTGCGTATACGAGAAGTGTATGAGTGAGAGTGAAACATGAAATGGGCATTCCCAGCTTCTCCCCCAGCAAGGGGACGTCCCAGTGCATACAACAATAATTGCTGGCACCCTTTGGTTTTTGCATCAGCTGCTTTTAAATCTCACTACAAAGCATAAACTGAGATGAATAAATAGCATGAGAACCCCCCACCCACCATCAAAATGCGTCGAGGTGTGGAAAAATTCTCACTAGAGAGTTCGACTGTGAAATCGAGCGTGCATGTGTGCTTATGAACGCCACACCACTGGCCTGATTGAGACAGAGCATCCTTAAGACAACTGCTGCACAAGTTCAGACTGAAATTGATGCCGAATGTGACGGAGATGAAGAGGGTTGAGTGGGAGTCTGCAGAAAGGTGGCCTACATTCATATTGTTACATGCACGTCTGTCTTTTGTATGTCAGACACGTAGACGTCATTTTCCTTCCCCATTGAGGAAGTGACACGAAGAGCACACTCCCACAATTTCTGCTCAAGACGAACCAAAACTGCAGGATGTGAAACCTCAAGAATTCATTCATTAGCCCATTGTAGTGCCATTCAAGTCTTCAAACACAGCATAATAAATCGCCCAACACTTTCATCGTCCTCAACAGTGGGCATCTAAAGCTGCACAGACTGCAGTCTTTCATAAGTTCATTTTCCGATTCTAGCCGACAGTGCTATTCTCTAGGGCAGTGTTTCCCAACCGGGGTGCCGTCTGTCGAGAGCAGGGGTGCAGTGTAAAAAATTATTTTTTAATATTTTTAAATTGCTAAAATATTCAAAAAAGCATCTATTATATAATATCCATTTCTGATGTTGCCAATAATTAGAGATGCACTGAAATTTCGGTTGCCGAAAATTAGTTCACCACTCAGGATTCACTTTCACGTGGTGTGACGCTCTGTGTATTATCCCGCTCTATGCGTGTGTGCGCTCCGCTCAGTCGCTGATGGCCCAAGTGAGTGCTCCACTCATATACCGTTCATGCGAATCGGAACAGCAAAGTCCACTCAAAAATTGAGCCGACAGGAAACATCTATGTAGTACAGTATTGTTTCTGTCTGCAATAACCCTACTGTGTTGTAACAAGGTGTGGTAAATGGACAACTCTGGTAACGCTGCCCTCTCATTCATTGATCTGCTAACCGCTATGTTATGCTCACGTGTTCTGATAATAGCCCAATAGCTTTCTAGGACTAAACATTATTTGGATAATTGGTAAAAAAAAAAAAAAAAGTAATATCTTAACCTTACTGTTAGACCTACCTGAAAAACAAAAAAAGCAATTAATTTAATTCGAAGGCCTGTCGTTATTTTTTATGGAGGAGGAGATGCGAAAGACGATTTAACTCGGTGTTCGCGCGCCATCTGAAACGCGTCTCTCTGTGCACGTGTGCGGCAGAACTGAAGAGACGCTGTGCGAGATGCGGCTTGTGCGCGTGCTTCAGGTGTGAGTCTGTCACAGCAAGACGAGACGGCAAAGAGTTGTTTTCTGCAACTTATTGCACTTACTCTTTTTAATTTTGACAATGATAGCGTAGGTGAGGCAAAAAAAGATAATTGAATTATTTTAATTAAAACATGCTGTTGATGAATATATGCAAGATTAATGCATTCATGTTTTTGAAGTAGAAAAATCTAGGTTTCAAAGACAGTTTTCAAATGCTATTAAAAATACTGAGGCATGTTTATATTAATACATATAATGTTTAAATATTTGGTTTAATTTGCACGCTTTATTTAAATGTTAGTTTTGTAGACAAAAATTAGATGCAATGTTCGTCCTTAAAACTGGATAAAATTAAATAACATGAAATACTGACTGAAATTTAAAAAAAAAAACAGGCTGGAGGCTTTTTCAGTTTATGCGAACAATGAAGACAGCAATATTGTTTGAAAACTGTTTTTTTTTTAAATTACACATTTAAGATTTATTGCCACTGTTGTGTGCCTTAAAGTACTCATTCCTAAGGTCACATGCTTAGAGATTCAAGATCCAAATGTATAGATAAAATGACAAAGTTGACTTTTACTTTCTACACAGTTCCGGATTCTTTGTGCAATCAAGACATCACAAGACAGAAAAAAGAAACGTTAAGGGAAGAAAAAAAATGCACGCTCTAGAACAAAACAAAACATGATTTTGTAAATGACACATTGACAAATTAAAATAAGCATCTAAACTACAAAAAACAACTAACAAAACCAGTCTGCTAATCAGAGTCTGTTCTCTGCACCACTCAATAAACCAGCCTTGTTAAAAATGACCTTTACAATCCACTTCCATATCTCACCCTCACCCAATCAGATTGCAGCCCTGATCACAAAGAGAAAAAGCTGACTGGACCAGGACCCCTCCATTACCTGTCCAACCTACATAAAGAAGAGAACCAGCACAAAGGGTTTTCACATGACTTTACTCATGCCCGCCTTTCATCACTGGACAGCCGATCGAGGGGAAATAACACAGAGAAAAAAAAATGAAAACAATAAAAAGACAAGATGAAAGGAAAATAATGAACTGTCAGTGCATTCCCCTCCATATGTGCTCATCTCCCACACGCTTTTGACTCTGCTCCGTTCTGTAGTTTCGATTGGGAATTAAGACTATAGAAATCAATAATCAGCTGACCAGTAGCTGTGGTTCTGCTATCTTATCTCCCATTCCTTTCCCCTCCACAGAATTTCAGCATCCCCACCCAGGCCCAAGAGAGGGCAGGCGCTAAAAACAGCCCCGTCTGGACCCAAGGGAGCCTTGCAGATTTGGCCATGCAAAACACGATCTTTCATCAATAACATCCACTTTCCTGGACTATTACAGTCTCTTAAAAGCTTCATAAAGTATTTGAATCTCAAATGGCAACAGAATTCTTAACAGGAAAGACTACTCAAAAATGTACATTTCTGTCATTTACGAACCCTCATGTTGTTCCAAACCCATAGGACTTAATCTTCAAAACTAAAAATAAGATATTTTTAATGAAACCTGTACCTCCATTGAAAGTACAGGCAACTACAACCTGGAACTGGATTTATGTGGATTCGATTTACAACAGCTTTATGACCTTTTTGGATGTTCTAGCTCACTTTTGGTTACCTGGACTTTCAATGGAGGCACAGAAACCTCAGATTTCATTAAATATATCTTCATTAGTGTTCTGAAGATTAACCAAAGTCTTACAGGTTTTGGAACAACGTGATGCCGAGTAAATGACAGAATTTTCATCTCTTTGTTGAGCCCTTTAAAGAGACTTTTTCTATATAACATAGAAAAAGTCTCTTTAAAGGACTCAACAAAGAGATGAAAATTCTAAGATTGGCCAAGGGTGGTTTAAATGCAATGAACAGATATCTTCTGATCCAACAGGACAATTTGAGATGGAAATAATTCAAAACTATACACCTGAACAGGTTACATACATAGAGGCTCCTTGCGATCAAACTAAAGAAAGCTAACAAGGTAGAAGTTACTTTCAACTCACCCATCCTCCTTGGCTCTGGATCCAGGGCTGAATTTTGTTGTCTAGGTAGACGGTCATCCAATCCGCGATGCTTCCCACTAGCGGGCTCATCTCCTTCTCCACGCACTCAACACACAGAGCCCCTCCGAAGGCAAACAGTCCCACGATGCGGCCCCAGTTGACGCCGTCGCGGAACACCTCATCCATCACGCTCTCGAAGCTCTGGTACGCTGTGGCAGGCGTGATGTGGAGCTGCGAGGACAGGTCGTTGAATGCTTGGGAATAACGCAGCTCAAACTCGTTGGCAGAATCGCGAAGCGCCTCCTTTACTGCATCCAGACCCCCAGTCCCGTTTGTCTGACGCTGGGGGGTTGAAGCGGGGGACCTTGGCGGGGTCCCAGTGGAACCAGTACTTGTTCCGTTCAGGGAGCCATTAACGAGGGTTGTCGTTCCTGCTGCCTCCTCATCATCATTCCCTTCCGCCGCATCAGTCCGATTTGTGTCTTCTGTAAATTCAATGTGATTGTAGGGGTAGTTCCTCTGTGAGAGTTTATATTTAATAAAAAATACCACCAGTTCTCGGTTATAGTAAGACATGATTCACGTCGTTGCTCGTCGTTCTCCGATGTCTGAATATCCACTCGCTCGTTCTTAGAACACAGTGCACACCCTTGCGTCCTTCTCAGGCTTCTGCCGACGCTCAGGGATGGTGCAATGGCTCATACCCTGTGGTAAGACAACAGTGCAATGAATTGATCCGTAAATACGCAATCATTTTCACAAACAGGGAGAGGAGGGGGTCAGGGTGAAACTTTGGAAGAGGTTAAGGGGCACTGAAGATAAAAAATTTTTTTCCAGCCCTCTTACTTAATGTAGAGGCTTGATCAAAGGAACAGATGGTAGCCTCTCATCACCTGCCTCCTATGAAAAACATGGACAATGTCCTCTCTCCCCCTGTCCAAGACATGGCTAAATGTACACTGACCTTGACATGAGTGAATTTTAAGCAGCAGGGGGCAAGAACAGCCAGCATGGCTAGAATTATGATTCCCTCATTTCAACAAATCTATAACGGACCTCAATTGTGGTGCCAGAAGATCCAGCCAAGAGTCACAGACAAAAGATACCCAAGTGCTTTAAAATGTTTTGACAACTCAAGTATAAGCTTAATGAATCTTAATGTATTTGTATAACCTTAGCTAAACAGAATTGACTAAAATTAATACATTAATTTATTAATCTGTGCATTAATTTATAATTACATATATGCGTTATTACAGATCAAATCTATACAATGTTTTGGAATTAAAACGTCTGATCAAGAGAATCAATCATTCTGCGACTATATATCTGGATACGAACGATCGATAGATAGATAGATAGATAGAACCAGTAAAGAGATAAAAAAAAAACGTTATTATTAAATAAATGGATCAAGTGACTTTTTTAGCTGATTTCGTCTTTTGGACGACATCACGAGCGCGCGGTGCTCACGCGGTGCATTATCTGATCGCTCCTGGGAAAGCGCGAGAGTTCTCAGGAAACACTGGATCAGCCAAGCACGTGCTGACAACAACGAGGCTCAGAGCACAACACATGGCCAGAGGCTGCTCATTTGGTCGCGGAAAAATGACTAAAAAATATATCTATTTTGTAACTTAAGAAATTCGGACACTCATTCTCTGTCCGAATATGACGCATATTGCCATTGCTTTATTCCACATGTAATATACATAACATTTACATACATAGTACACGATGTGGTCGCACTTACTGATTCGCTGGATTGATCAGCAGACACTTCCAATGAGTGAATTATCTAAGATTCTAATAAAAGGAGACTAAAGAGATTTAAAAAAAAAACGTTATTATTAAATAAATGGATCAAGTGACTTTTTTAGCTGATTTCGTCTTTTGGACGACATCACGAGCGCGGGGTGCTCACGCGGTGCATGATCTGATCGCTCCTGGGAAAGCGCGAGAGTTCTCAGGAAACACTGGATCAGCCAAGCACGTGCTGACAACAACGAGGCTCAGAGCACAACACATGGCCAGAGGCTGCTCATTTGGTCGCGGAAAAATGACTAAAAAATATATCTATTTTGTAACTTAAGAAATTCGGACACTCATTCTCTGTCCGAATATGACGCATATTGCCATTGCTTTATTCCACATGTAATATACATAACATTTACATACATAGTACACGATGTGGTCGCACTTACTGATTCGCTGGATTGATCAGCAGACACTTCCAATGAGTGAATTATCTAAGATTCTAATAAAAGGAGACACGCGGTGTTTACACAAACACAATGTCAACGCACAGCACAACACACATTCCCACAACCGCGACCGAGCGTGTGTGAATACCTCCCAGACAAAGCTATTCAGTGTTTTATGTCAGTGTTCTCAAGAAACAACATTTTTCTTAAAGGAAAGTCTACATACAGTAGTGGCTAAAATATAGATTTGCATTTCGACCAAAGCTTTTACCGACCAACTTGTTAGAAATGACCTAAAACAAAGTCTAACCTCAACATTTTCTACCGTGTCTCACGTTATCGTGCTTATTGACAACGTTTAAGATAATGACAACACGGAGAGCTAAAGAGCACTCAGCTTACCAAAACACAGTCTGCTCACTCCTCGTAGATTAAGTCAACCAAGAAACAGCTCCAGGGAGTTTATGTGAATTATAGTTATAGATTAAGCAACAATATCAAATAGAAACTGCGGCAGATCAAAAGTAATAATACTGCGTGTGTGAGGGAAAAAAACGAGCCAGTGCTAGATATTTCTCTTTAAAGCAGACCTCCCCTCTCTGTGATAGGATATGATCACCTAAATGACGGTCACGCTGCCTAACCCAGCCATTACGTAATAAAGGCTCCGTTCTAGGGCCCACAGCAGAGGCCGAGAGGAAACAACCGGTCAGCTCTGTTGGGCAAGACTATCACTTTCAGAGAGGCGATCGCACAGAATCACTTCAGTCCGAGAAAACGAACATAAAAGGACCAAACTCATAATTATTAGCCATATATTTCCGCTGATCACAAGCAGAGGGCGAGAGCTCTCCAAATGTCGCCCTGTCTATGCTGAGGAGAAACACTGGATGTAGATTATTATAGCATTTCTTAATCTTTTATAGGTCAGCATACAACTAGCATTTACGCATGTAACGTTAAGTAATATCTAACACCCCGTTATGTTTTATTTACCAATGAATGCAATACATTTAATGCATTTCTGCACGCATTTAAGTCATGATGAGAAACCCCGTATGCAAGAAACAGAGCAAATGAATAACAAGCCCTATATAACCGATGGTTCTTGCCAGCCAAGAATGCATTTCCTGTAAAATCCAAGCCAACTACGTCAATCTTTCCCCCTTCGGCTAGTTAGCCGTGTAGCTAGCGTCACGGAAGGTGGACTGGCTGTAAGTTACAGGGAAACGCGAAATCATTTGGAGGCGGGTGTAAAGATAAAGCTCCCATTTCAAAAACGCATCGCAGACCTTTGGTACTTACTCTGATATTTGGAAAGGCAAATTCCTGATCTCCCGCATGATCGATGTCGGCGTGTTTCTCCTCTGCTGTCCTCGACCAGAGCGCCGTCGGTGCAGAGCCGCTGTCAGCAGCGCTTCGGTGCTCTGAGCATTCAGCGGCGCTAGCTCAGTTCCGCCCCTTCTGAGCTGCTCTTAAACTAAGGGCCTATTCATATATTACAGCACATACAGTACATCAGATGTGGACTGAGTATGCTGGCTTACGGAGTAACTACTTTACTCACTCCAAAGTCGTTAATTAAAGCTTAATAAAGCTAATACTGATGACTTAATCTTAACGAACTCGCAACTTTTACACATTATGTGGTCTTAAATTACTGATATAAATTCTGCTCAGTAGTTTTCTTCATCTAACTACAAATATGTAGATATGTATACTTAACGGGCGGTAAGAATGGGCATTTTAAATAACCGTAAACGGTTTGAGCTCACTAAACAAAGAGTGGCAGAATTACTATGGTAACCTTTGTTACCCCAAAAACGCGCGTGATGCGTCTACTGTGACAGCGACACCCTGTGGCGCAGTTAATAAATATTCGCTTTATTAATTAGAACGAAATCCTTCATTTCATATGCTGGTGTTGTCGTGATATAAAGCATTTGTTTTCTATCTTTAAAGATTCAAGGAGCCTCCATCCAAGACTCTGTCAAACAAGAGACCCCTATTATAAAAGAACAAACATTACTACATTATTTATGCATTTTAGATCGTTAGACAAAGTTAGAAATTCGGTAAGGGAAATGTCATAAAAACGTAAGGAAACTCAGTTCCCCTCATTGAAAACCTGAAAGAAACATGTACAGGTAGGAGAAAATTCAATGGTTCAGACTTCAAACTTTATTGATTACTTCACCAGATGCTTGTAAGATTACATCACAATATGTATAGAGTCGAACATTATTCTGTATATTTTACATGAAAACTTTACACATCGCATTTCTTCATATACTGTATATATTTATATTTCCCAGTCTCAATGGGAGGCAAAGTAGACATCCATAGTTGCAAGGGAAGGAATGCTTTTCAGAAAATATTTAAATGCACTTCAAGAATGAAATACATACTTAATGAAAATGAATTGGGAGTTGAATCTGCACTGGTAATACACTAGTAAGTCATATGCTGCAGGGGTTTAATGGAGACATACCTGGATTATAAGGTACATTTGTATTCCTGTATTTCCCCCACTTCAATTGTTTTATGATAATGTGACTGGCATCCATCACATAAACTTGCTGATTCAGTCTAACTCCCAATCAAGAGCGAACAGCACTTGCAAAAATGAAATATTAAAAAAAAAAAAGTGCGTCCATCCATCATAAAATATTCCACCCACACGCTCCGGGGGGTTAATCAAGGGCTTCTGAAGTGAATTGATGCGTTTGTGTAAGAAAAATATCCTTAATTAAACCTTGCATAGCCAGACCTTCAGACTGACGGCAGAAGGTCTGGGAACCTTGGCCGCTTTGAATGGCCAAGACCCGCCCAAGAGGCCATATGACTGACAGCTAAAGCAACCAGTAATGTTTTCTTTTGTGCCACGTCATGTTTATGGGCATGGAAATGTCCCCACAGTAACAGACCAGTGTGTAAAACTCTTGGACATATTTGAAACATTCTATGCCGTGAACTTTAGATATTTCACATACTTTTGAAAATCCAGCTTGTAGTTGTGATCCTAAAAAGTGCTCATCACAGCTGGAAACACAACGGCTTTCTTCTTCCATGAGGGGGTTTGGTGCCACGGCATCTTTATTTCAAGGCAGAACGTTAAAGAACGTTTGTTTTGCTTTCTCCTCTGCACTTCCGCTACATCCTACCTACGTCATCCGCTGGAACACCACTCTCTCGTGAACAAGAGTATGACAGAGGAAGCTAGAGATTACGGTTTATGAAGTTTTAAATATGGATATAAAAACACATCGATTTGCATCAGGAGGCCATTATTAACCCCCAGGAGCTGTGTGAAGCACTTTTTATGATGGATGAATGCACTTTTTTGGGTTTTAAAATTGACCATCATTCACTGCCATTATTAAGCTTGGAAGAGCCAGCACATTTTTAATATAACTCCGACTGTGTTCGTCTAAAAGACGAAAGTCATAAAGTACATCTAGGATGGATTAAGGGTGAGTAAATCATGGGGTAATTTAAATTTTTGTGTGAACTATCCCTTTCTCTTTTCAGTTAGGGGTTTCCCTTAAAGACCTTTTAGCAGAGTGTCAATCTGGAGTGGAATGCCGCTGGGAAAACCTGATATTATCAGAGGAGTGATGAATGGAAAAGTGTATTTTAGTTATGGACAAGGAAAATCCCCAGGGCTGCCAGTAGATTGTCTGTGTAATAGCACAGGTCTCTTTTACATATAAAGGTCATCACACACCTGCAAGCTGGTGTTTCAGCAGGATGCTTCCTGTAATAAAAGCCTTAACTCAGACCCCTGAAGGTTAAGAGAGATATCCAAAACAAGTCTCTCCTTCAGGAAATAACACCCATTGGCTAATTATCAGACTCACCTGTCTGGTTAATAAGGACACTATTTTTGCCTTCCGTTTTTCTTGGTCTTAATGTGGAACATGTCAGTATTTTACAATATCTAGTGGCTGAACCCAGCCGGATGTCTACTTAATGTCTGAATCAACATGAAAGGTTGACCACTGTCTTTAACCATCTGAAGCTGCGTTTATATGACTTTATTAATAAATCTGGTTATTTCCCTTTAGTGACATCAAAATATAATCATTTGCATAACTGACTCCTAGTATTCCATATGTTTGTCAGTTGTGATGTTAAATAAAGCTTGCATGTCAGTGCGAAACTTACAGCTCAGATCCTCTCATGCAGTTATAAATGCAGCGTTTTGACTGAACCACTTCTAATTCTGCTGCAAGGGTCAATATGTTTCTCCAAATGTGACATGTGTAGGCGTCACATTTGAAATGTCCATCGGGAATGAAGTACAGCAAGTAGCAGGGCAATGTCTTAAAATTCTTAAACTCTCCCTCATGATTAGCGCAACAGATGAGCGAAATCCCCACCTTGTTTCACACACCACTGCAGCTGTGCGAAAATATCCGCCAGAAGCACCTCGCTGAGAGGCTCATAGAATTGCGTGAACACATCGCAGATAGCGTAGAGGGCATGGTTACATGTCGTTGTCATCCACTCTGTTTTCTATGAAAAGAAAAAACATGTACAGTGGGGCAAAAAAGTATTTAGTCAGCCACCAATTGTGCAAGTTCTCCCACTTAAAAAGATGAGAGAGGCCTGTAATTTTCATCATAGGTATACCTCAACTATGAGAGACAAAATGAGAAAAAAAAATCCAGAAAATCACATTGTAGGATTGTTAAAGAATTAATTGGTAAATTCCTCGGGAAAATAAGTATTTGGTCACCTACAAACAAGCAAGATTTCTGGCTCTCACAGACCTGTAACAACTTCTTTAAGAGGCTCCTCTGTCCTCCACTCAATCCATCTTATTTTACAATGTGGAAGTAAGACATTTTCTATCAATGTGCAAGCCTTACGATTTTTTAGCCACTATAGCTAGAAGAATAAAGATATAAGCTACAAATGACTGCATCTACTCTTACGTAGGGATGTAATGATGTGCCCTGAGCCAGTTGAAAATTGATAAAAATGTGTGATTATTCAAGTTGGTCGAGATGTTAAATGAATCGCAAAACATTTGTGGGTGAGGTTTAATACGATTGTGTTTCTGAAGAGAACGGGGAAGAGTGACTAAAATGTCATTTTTGAACCTCAGTTGTCATGAGTAACAAAGGCTGAGGTGACAGCACTCACCTGCGGCCTGTCAGACACGTATTTAGCGCAGTGGCGGATGAGACGAATGGCTTCCATACTGGTGTCAGGAAACGCAGCGTTACACACAAACTCTGACAAACACTTGACTGCGTCCTGAAAAGAGTCGATGGCTGCGGCAAAATGCTGCTGAAATGTATTCACTGTGAGGAAACAGAAAGGATAGACATGAGAATGATGTTTTGTTTATAAATGTTCAAGATGAAAGTTTTAAACTAGTTTGAATTTTACGGTACTTACTAACAATGTGTCCTGTGGTTTGAAACGCGAGGTCCACAATGTTCTCATCATGATCTGATGCTGCTTGATGGAACACAGAGAAGATGTTCTTCCAGCCAGAGCGAATATTAGCAGCCTGGGAGTTCACCATCTGGGCCACACATCGTATAACCATGTCCCGGATAGTGGGCGACCTTTAAAATAGATGAAGTTATTGTATTAGTAACTGAAATGCATGGCTTCAAAATTAAAAAAATATGCTAAAATAATGACTATCGCATGATTAACCAAAATAAAACTGAAATCATAAATGTATTTAAAAGGCACTTTTATTTGAAAGGCAAAGGCTGTGATTTATTTAAATAAATATATGCACTGTGTTAGGGCTGTCAGCGGTTTTCCATCAAAATAAAAGTTTGATGGTTTAACATTTGGAAATGAAATTTATGAATAAAAATAAAAACAATATTAAATATGTTTTGAAATATTTGAATAATAGTAATTTCATATTAGTTTTAATGTAAAATTGTAAAATAATTATATTTTTCTTAAATATTCACGTTTTCATTTACAGTGAAATATTACAATAATATATTTTAAGTTTTTATTTTTGTAATTTTTCTATTTCTATTTAATAATAATAATAATAATTGATATATGCCATATTGATATATAATTACAACATTTTGGCCAAACTGTCAATTTAGCACAGCAAACCTGTCATTTTTTTTAAAATTACATTTTAAAATCCCAATCTCAATTTTTATCAGGAGATTCGCAATAAGATTTTTCCCCCCAAATCATGCAGCTCCAGTGAGTGTTTTTTTAGGAAAACAACCTGCAAATAGCCTACTTATAGTTCTTGTTGCATAATAAGTTGGGATAACAAAATATTTTACCTCTGAATATTACACGTTTCTCCTCAAATGTTTAAAGTTAACATGTTTCATCAAGATGCATCAGATTGCATCATTTCTTTAGCTCTCCAACCATTCACATTTCTAACTCCCCTCTCCTCACCTATTCTTCTTCACGATGTGTTCAAATGGCCTTAAAAAGTCCTTCTGGAAGCGGAAATTGGCCAGTTCTCCTTTCTCCAGAAACTTCATAGAGAGTTGTCTCAGGGAGTCCACAGCAAAGATGGCCACATCCTCATTAGGATTACAACCCACCTGCCAAATCAGAAATCACACAATCAAACTTGATTAAATCTGGAAAAAACATTTCACTGGCAGCTTGAAGGTGCGGTCACATTAGCAAAATTTGACTGCACCTTTAGGTAAGGCTACAGACCTTGTTGAAGTGATCTCCGATGACCTGCCAAATGCGTGACCACTGCAAACGGATGCGGTTCATGTTGTAGTAGGAGATCTCCACTATCTTCTGCAGACTAAACATGCGCGGCTGGTGAGCAGAAGCCAGCTCGTCCATGGACACCGCACAGAGCCAACGCACAAAGTCCACTGGGGATGGAGCAGAGTTTACAATTAACACAAATCTCAGAGACATTTTGCCCCCAAATACATTATCTACACATCCACTGTCTACTGGCAGAACACATTAGTTTAGAACAGAACAGAGTATCTGTGTGAAAGTAAATCAACGTGGGTTGGAAGCAGGTAATTTCAATATCATGTACAAATTGAGTGTAAATGTCACTTAAAACATTACCTGAAGGTCAACGTGAAATTAAAATGGACAATTCTTTATTTATTAATGGAATATTGACATTTTTATCATAAATGGTTTATTAAATTATTTAATTATGTGCCTACATAATCTTTCATCAAAGACCCTGTCAACGAATCAATAATTTCCTAATGAACATATAAAGTTACACTCTACATTTTTTTCTCATTTAATATGCAGTTCACCTGGATATACGTCACAATAGGGTAGAAAATATGATCACAATTTCAGTTTCCAGATGATTTGAACCCTCCGGAAATCTTACCAGCTTGGTTGCCTATGGCCAATCAAAATAATCCCAATCCCAAAACTAGACCATATCACACATCAAAATCATATCAAAACTTAAAATATGCCACTCCCATGCCTAAAATACATACTTTACAGTCAATATTATGCATTATACACAAGTTTTACTTTACAAATCACTTTATAGTAGTCAAACACACATAAACCAGAGCCCCTCCCTCAAATACCCATAAACTAGCATAGTTTTATTATTGGTTGAAAGTAAAAATAAATGCAATCATTTCAGCCAAATAAAATAAAATAAACTGTGGACTTGGCAACCCTGTTTAACAGAGATCCAGAAGCAATACAGACAGAACAACCCCACAGCCCACACCTTGTAAGTCACTTATGATGTAATGGACCAAACGAATGAATCTCAGACCATAAGAACAAACCCAAGCTATGGTGAAAAGGGTAATAGCATGGAACGCCCACTTACACACTAAAAACATAAAACTGATTTTCCATTGCTCATAGAGCTAATAATGATATGTTAAGAATGCAGCGTTCCTGTTAATTTCTTGCTAATTACAAAAAAAAAAACAGGACACACCGACTCAAGTTTACCCGAGTAGAATTAAATGAATCTATTTCCACATAATCAACCCACACAGATATGCTCTCAAACAGTGACAGTTAACTTACTACATGAATAACCTAGCTACACTTCTCAGTAGCATGACAGCAGCTCAATTGTTTTTAAAATAGTGTTGCTTTTCCCAGTAACAAGCTATTTAGTGAGTAATAGTGAGTAATAGTGTAGTGTGACGTGTGCAAACTCACATCCTTGTAGTAGCAGTAGTCCTTATTTAGCAACACAACTACTTCAAAATGTATATTTAAAGTTTGACTCAATGTAATTAATGCTGTAGATCAAAACGTTTTCATATAATGTTAAATATAGACCTTATTCTGCACAAAAACTCACAACTGCTACTTAAAAACCCTATCACTCCTGGGGGAATCCATGCTAATCATTTTTCATGTTTTACATCTACAAACTGAACCGCTCTATATATCAAACCCCTAGCATTTGCAGCATTGGGGAACATTCATCACCATGTTTTCGAATGAAATTACAGCATTTAAATTAATGTCAGTTTATTTGTTCAAGTTTGTGCGGTCACGTCCTGTAGCTAATTTTCTGCTAGATAAATAGTGCTGTAGTAATAAATTAATGATATAACCTCATAGTTACACTATCGTTCAAAGGTTTGGTGTCTAAGATTTAAAAAAAAATAAACTAATAGTTTTATTCAGCAAGACTGCATTAAATTGACCAAAAGTTACAGTAAAGAAACATTTCTATTTCAAATAAATGCTGTTCTTTTGAACTTGCTGCTGATCAGAAAATCCTAAACAACTCCATCATAGTTTGCAGCACAACTGTTTTCAAAACTGATAATAATAAATGTTTCTTGAGCAGCAAATCAGCATATTAGAATGATTTCTAAAGGATCATGTTACACTAAAAGCTTGAGTAATGGTGGCAGAAAAAAAAATATTTTTTTCATCACAGGAATAAATTACATTTTAAAATATATTAAAATAGAAAAGTTACTTTAAATTGTAGCAATATCTCACAATATTAGGGTTTTACTGTATTTTGATAGAATATATAAAGCTTAAGTGAGTATAAGAGATTTATTTCAACACTATTAAAAAAACAACTGACCAACCACATACTTTTGAATGGTAGCATATATGTTTAAAATATATTTCCCCCTTAAAAATATTCAACGCTAATGTTGTTACATTAAAACAAAACCCCTACCAATTGCATTTCCATCAAGCCTGGTGGATCCAGTGAAGATTCTGGCACACAAAAGAGAGACGGAAGGTCAGACAAGGAAGCATAAACAGTAAGAACAACACTGTGTGTTTGTATTGTCCTGTGATTTCAATGCACCTGTCCACAGCCACCACAACACTCTGAGAGCTGGTCTCCCCCACTGACTCCTGGATATGAGCCATCTGACGCTTGTCTGGACCTCCAACCAGAGTACCTGCAGGAGACCAATAATACTGTTTTGCTCCATAAGGAACATCGTCCACACACACCAATAAATAAACAATAAACAGACTGAACACTTCGGCCACATCCATGAGCTATTAACTGCAGTCGTACAATAGCCTACCTAAGCCGAGGGGCATGAATTCCTCTCCCCCTGATGGGAAGCCCTTTATGCTGCCTCCCTGGTCCCGGACAACACCGGAGATATAACGCGTCTTCACCCCTGTCCCAATCAACTGGGCCAACTCCAGCTGACTGATACACCGCAGAATCTAAACAAAGAGCAGGCAGAGGTGTAGAGGCTGGAAAGAAACTTTAGCAAATCAATAGTTTTGGAGGAGAGCAGGGGTTTATGGCCACCAGCGGAGTTGAGTTGCATGACTTTGCGGGGCTCAACAAAATTACCTGGATGACCAGCTGGTCTGGGGTGAGTGTGAAAGTGTTTTAGGCCAGTTTTCTACTATGTATTCTACATTTCTTTTAAAGGATTAGATCACTCAAGAATTTACATTTCCTGATAATTTACTCACCCCCATGTCATCCAAGACGTTCATGTCTTTCTATCTTCAGTCGAAAATAAATTAAGGTTTTTGAGGAAAATATTCCAGTATTTTTCTCCCTATAGTGGATTTCAATGGTGACCAACGGGTTGAAGGTCCAAACTGCAGTTTAAATGCAGCTTCAAAGGGCTCTACATGATCCCAGCCGAGGAATAAGGGTCTTATCTACCAAAACGATGTCATTTTCTAAAAATATATTTTTAAAAAGTATATACTTTTTAACCACAAATATTCATCTTGCACTAGCTCGACGTCACGCATTACGTAATCACATTGGAAAGTTGTGACGTAGATAGAAGTACCAACCTAGTGTTTACAAAGCGAACATGCAAAGAAAATCAAACGCCCTTTACAAAAAATGGTAAAACAACATTGTCGGACAATTTTGAAATTTGAGGAGAAAATGAAATGGAGTTTTTCGCCCTACCCTAACTTTTTGAACCAGAGTACACAGACAGATAACTAACGTTTCCAACGTGATTACGTAATACGTGAAGTCGTGGACGTGCATCGCAGAGCTAGTGCAAGACGAGCATTTGTGGTTAAAAAGTATATAAATTCAAATTTTTAAACGATAATTTCACTAGATAAGACCCTTATTTCTCGACTGGGATCATGTAGAGCCCTTTGAAGCTGCATTGAAACTGCAACGTAGACCTTCAACCCGTTGATCCCCATTGAATTCCACTATATGGAGAAAAATCCTGAAACGTGTTCCTCGAAAACCTCAGTTTCTTTTTCGACTGAAGAAAGAAAAACATGAACATCTGGGATGACATGGGGATGAGTACATTTTCAGGAAATTTTAATTCAGGAGTGAACTAAACCTTTAATGGAAAACCAGGAGTTGATTTGGGGTAATTACAGCACACTTTGAGGACATTGCTGACATTATGCTCAACTCTATTCACACACTCTGATGCCCACCTCATGCCAGGAGTTTCCCAAGTAGTTTCCGTCAGTGTGGGCGACCATGATGAGAGTCTTTATGGTATCAATGTTCTTCTGCTTCATCTCTGTGATACTTGAGCTAGCGGTGAGCAGCGTAAACCGGGCCAAGGCCTGGATGTAGGCATCTCTCTCCAACTGTGAAACAGAAAAAAGTAAGAACTAAATAAAAAAGGCTTGAGTATGATTTGTCACGTGAAAAGTGTAAAAACACAAACCTGCATGTTGAAGATGCAGGCAATCCTGATTGCACATCGGATCCCCTCCAGACAAAGAGATGCCACGTCCTGATCGTCACAATCCTGGAGTCCTACGCTGAACGCCGCCAACAGAGGAGTCCAGGCCAGCTATTTTACATACATCAAAACACAGAGACATACATACTAAAAAATGAACTCACAGATAACATACTTTCAAAGTTGAACTTCCTTTCCACCTTTACAGAGTGAGGAGTGAAACCACAACATCCTGGAACAGTATCAGATCATGTCTCCTCCATGACCTGCTCATGATCCTTTTGACCTAACAATGACTTTCTGTTCCAGTACCCAGCTGGCATTGAACTGTGGTTTAATGGACATGTGCCATTACCTTGAACATGGGCCGGACGTGCTCTAGGTGAGTAGCACTGAAGAAGGGAGCCTGAGCGTGACTTACAGCCTCCATCAGAGCTTTAGCCGTTTTGGCCATCTGCTCCATCTCCATGTTATACAGCAGCCTTCTCTGCTTCTCATTGGCTACATCTAACAGGAAGACAAACAGCTCACGTCAGCATTCAACAGGGTTTTATTCAATTCCATCAAAGGAAATGACAGGCATTTTGTTGAGAGGCTCTTACTCTGTTTGCTGGATTTGGGAGTGATGGAGTATTCTTTGCTCTCCTTCAAAGCAATCTTCTTTCCTGCAATTTCGTCGTAGATGGAGGACAGATACTCCTCGGGCAGGTCCTTACTGTCATTAATGCCACGGTTCATTTTTATGTACTGCTCCTTTGTCATTTTGTTCTTCACCTGAAGAGAAGAGAAAACAAATACAAAACTAGATTTTTACATTTCATGGAAATAAAAACATGCTTGCTTTTTTAGAATGTTCCTAAATGCTGGATGGTTACAAGACTGGTTTTGCAGTTACCAAGGTTCTGGTTAGTTGCCATGGTCTCTTAGCAAATACAAAGCAAAGCAAAAGGAGTGAAGGGAGATAAGTGAGCCAAAAAAAAAAAAAAAAAAAAAAAAAATTAAAAAAAAAAAAACCCTTTACCAAGAAACAGATGCTGTCATTCTTGGGGATGTGTGCTTACTGCAGAACATTCATTCCTAATTATGCCATTTTTGAGCAGCCCTTACTAGCCCTACTGACAGGGAAAGGGCTGAGGTCATGTGACAGACTTGTTTGGACAAGCGAGGCTGAGAAAACATTTGAGTAGTCTTACCTGTGGACTGTGCAGGTCGGTGGTTAACATGATGATGGAGTAGGCCAGAACGTAGGCCGTGTCTGCGCTGGCAAACAGAGTCTGCCTACAGAACAACAGACAGGTCAACACATACACAAACGCCAGCGAGCCTCACAAATATATAACTCTTCTTCAGACTACAAAACTTACCCCTGATTGCACTCCAGGTATCGGGCGGCAAACTTCTCCATGAGCCTATCGATTTTCTGGGCTTCACCTGGAAGCCTGAAGCCTTCCAGGAAGGCACGGAGTGCTGACACAAAGTCTTTGCCACAAAAGTCCAGCCGGTCCACATAGCAGTACATCACTTCTTTATTAAACTTAACATTCTCTCCCAGGAACTCGCCAACCTGAGTCTGATCACATGACACAGCAGAGCCTAAGTCTTGGTGCACTAATTTATCCATGTCTGAAAACAAGCAAGAACTTACCGTGTCCAGTCGCTCCTCCTGTTGCAGGAACTGTGCGATGTCTTCTGGCGTGGTGCCCAGCATGCCTTGCTCCTGCAGGTACTGCAATCCCCTTTTTGGTTTCTTGTTAAACCTTTAAGAAACAGAAATGGTCAAAGAAAAATATGGAAGAAAAAATAAAGACACTTCAAAAAAGACAGCTTACAGCTCAATGCCATGCTCGATGATCTCTTTCTGCTGCTTGATGACCTCATACTGCTCGGGGTGATCTAGCTTAGACTGCTGAACTCCAGACGACACAGTGGAGTCCAGAGAGCTCACACTATCTCTGCGAGAGGAAAGATTCTCATGGAGCTTCCCATCTGCACTGTCGCCCTCTGCTGGACGTTCCTGACCTGCAGCGCAACAAAAGTCTAGATTTAGAAAATTCTGATGACACAGACGATTCAAACAGATCTCAGTGTTGTCTTACCAAGGTTGGCCTGCAGGTTGGGGTTGACGTACATGTCTCTGCTCCATTCCACCATGCACTTCAAAATGGACACCAGACACTCCAGCCCTTTCTTTCTCAAACTCAGCTCCTGCAAATGAATCATTAACCGATCAACTCTGAATTAATTATTACACACTAACAGTGTGGTTGGGGAAGATTTTCCCTGCAGTGAATCATGCACTTGTTTTTACTGGAGAAGTTTGTACTGTTCTAGAATTATTTTTAAAATGTAGTATTGTGGCATTGCTAATATTGTTGGCACATTGTGAACCACATCATCTTTTTATATTACAATAAAAAGATGAAAAAATAAAACCACATTTTAAGCAAGTTCAGATTAAAGAATCTGCTTTAAATCTACATTATATGACATACTGTGATATCAAATAACATGCCACCTTTTTTTACTAGAGATGTTTGTACTCTTTTGAATTTTTTTTTTTGCCAATGTTAATGTTGTTTTTCATGAAGTTAAATGAACTCATTTAAGTTGTTAAGTTGTAAACGGTAAATTTTATGGCATATGTTCCTGTGGCTCAGTGGTAGAGTATTGCATTAGCAGCGCAAAAGGTCGTGGGTTTGATTCCCAAGGAACACACATACTGGTAAAAAATGTATAGCCTGAATGTCGCTTGCGTCTGCTAAATGCATAAATTATAAATTATATGCTGTATTATGTACAGTTAAAAATAATACCATGCCATGTAAAGTATGCTAATGTTATAGTTCGAAGATGATGACTGCTACCTGTAATGGAGTCATGCCGAGCTCCTGTCCACTCCTTCCCTGGGCGATTTTAGACAGGTCATTTACCAGCCGCTCAAAAATATTGGCAGCGTTGAGATCACAGTCATAGTTCACATAAATGTCCACCACACATTGTGCATCTGTGAGAAGAGCAGCAGACTCGTTCACCATTTGGTTTGATATCTGAGCCAATAATGTGTGAGAAGTTTGTGTGTGTGTGCCCATGTTGTGTGCAAGTGTACACTGAGGTGTGCCAACCTGCACATATTCGAGTTAGAGTCTGAATGACCATCCACTTGTGCTCGAAGGAGCTGGATGACGTCTCCAAGATTGTTAGAAAGATCTCCCTGAAGAACACCTGAAAGAAAAGAGACAAAAAAAAGAAGAAATGGAAATTAAGAAATAATATTTTAGTTGAAAAATCATGTAGGAACAATTTATATTCGTCTGTAAAACTAATTTAATACATTCAAGCACAAGTTTTGAAGATCATGAGAAACAAATTTAGTCAAGTGTGTACAAACAGCCTGACTGTGTATCTGAACATTTGATTTTTTTTTTACCTCAATTTGCATCTTAAGGTGCACTTTGAAGTGGGAGAGCAATGTAAGGAAGATGGCAAGAGACAGTTCAAATACTGCAGGCACAGAGGAGACCCCGTTTTTGGAGAGTGCCACACACAGGTACTGTTTGATGGCGTTCACAAACATCTCATGGGTTCGGAAAACAGGTCCAGCTCCCTGCAGCACTGACAGCAACAGCTGCAGGGAAACCACCTTAGAGCGCAACTCATGGGACCTGAAAGTGAAAAATGACGTCAGCATTTCAAAATAATGGCAAATTAATTCCAAATCATTCTACAGGGAGTGTCCATTGTGGAACCAGAGCACTCAGATCTACTCCAGCAACATCTCAGTTTTTATGATCACACTACTTACACGATTCATCATTTACTGGTCTTCCACATAAAAGAAGTTGAAAAATATTTGCTTGACTGATTAGTCATCTAATATTTAATCTACAGCAAATACATTTCCTCTCCAGGTTCTTACTTTGGGTCGGGTGGTCCATCAGCCAGGGGCTTCATGGAAAGCTTGCAGAGGGAGCGGAACACGAGGAAGGCGTCTTTCTGAAGGATGTGCGAAAAACGAGCAGCTGTCTGACTGCCCTGAATGGTTTCTGCATCCTGTTCAGAAAAGAAACAAAATACCAGTCAGGCCACAAGTAAAAAGGTATAGTGTAATTATATAGCTATATATATATATATATAAGCAATAGTCTAATTATGTGTCTTTATAGACAATGTCTTTATACACTTCCGTTTAAAAGTCTCTGTAAGATTTTTTATGTTTTTGAAGTCTACTAATATGCAGATTTGCTGCTTAAAAAATATTTATTTTTAATAACTATTTAAAACAGGTTTACTGCTTAATAATTTCCTGAAAACCACGTCTTTACTGATGCTTTTGCTCAATTTAATCACTTTAATTAGCTGACTAAATAGTATTACTTTAAAAAAAATTACTGACTCCATTTTTGAATGGTCATGCATGTCTTATTAAACAAATGAAAAAGAAATTAAATTGTATTCACTTGCCCTCCATCAGAAAACTCTAAAGTAAGAAACACACCAGAATGTCTATGGAGGACTCTGAGCCACGGTCATCCACCATTCCATTCATCTGCTGTGTGTCGACTCGAACAACAGGGGGTGGCACTTTGGTTTCTGAGTCAGAATGTTGATCTAAGCCTGTGGTAGAAATGGATGCAGGAGTGACTACTATGCCATAGGTTCACATAAAGCTACAGTCAGCTATTTCCAGTGTGACACACCTCCTTCCACAGAGCTATCTCCCAGTCCACTGTCTGGCTCAGTCTCTTCCTGAACCTCAGTGCCTGCTTCTGTCTCAGGCTGCGGATGGGTCTCCTCTCCCTCAACCCCTCCTGCCACTGATGAAGTCGTCTGGTCTGACTCCTGAATCTCTTCATCTTTAAAAACAGTCAAATTAAATAAAATAAAGTGCATCAAAACTGCTTTCTGAAAGATAACAGGAAATTGCCAGAACCTTATAATTTGGAGTAATTTCTCATATATTCCGACACCAGTGATTCCCCATACCTGGGTGTGCAATTTCCTTTGTGCTCTGTTTATCTGTGGCAAACTCCTCCTCTGACTTTGACTCTTCTGGCTGGCCATTGATGGAGGATGAGTCCTGGGGGGTGGAAGGAGTGGAGGGGACCCCAGGGGGGCTGAGAGAGGGAGATGGGGGTCCGTTCTGTTCTGAGCAGGCTCGTCTGAGCCATGGCGATCCAGACCCCCGACCAGGAGTAGGGGAAGGGTTTTGGGCCACAGGTGAAGGGTTACTGGATACTGGAGAAGGATTGCGCAGCTGCAGACGTTGTCTTTCCTTCTCTGCTTCCTGAGCTTCCAGAGCCTACAAGGGAGTCATTAGAATTAGAAATTCAAACCTAGTTTCCCAGTTTTAGTCTAATTTTCCCAAACTATAATGGTGCCCATAGTTTCACTAGGGTGACAGCTCACATCTAAACAGAGTTGTTACTAACCGCCTGGTTCTCCATACGGGTGAAGATGACACTGAGCATCTGTGTGAGAGTGGCCTTGGCCGTGGTCTGGTTGATCAGGTTGCGGCTGGCCAAGTAGATGTTGTAGCAGGTGCGGACAGTGAGGAGAATCGTTCCCTCGTGGATCTCTATGTGTGGTGATGTCACAGCAGTCAGCAGAGCCTGTAGAGTAACACAATGCATTATGAAATCACAGATTATGGCAATTTATGCATTGACAAGTTTATGGCTTGAAGCATTATGCAGGTAAATAATGACATTGATGAAAACGAGATCTTTAATGGGCAGCCCTCTCAGATAATCATGTGATCTTATGTACACATCTTGGTGGTAAAACTGCCCAACCTCTTTGTGCAAACTACTATTCTCTACTGCTTGCTCTCCATTTATAGAGAATAGAATATTAGAAAATCTTTCACACTGCATGTTTATCTAAAATAAGAGTAAAAGAAAAGACGTTGTACATTAATGCTCAGCTTATGTTGCAAATGTTGTAAGGTAATCATGGTTTTCTCAACTTGTATGATCGTTTAGCTGCCCGTTAACTAAATTTCACCCATAATGTCTTGTATGACTCAAGTTTGTTGACATAGGTGCTGAATACAGAAGCAGCTTTGATTACTTTGGCATGAGCTTCACTGCAGTGACCAGGTGAACTCAAGGCCATAGACAGGGTTTGAAAATTAGTGAGGTTAAGAATTGTGCTATAATAACCCCTACAAATACAACTCATTATATACACTAAACACTTTAAAAGAGACAGAGATGTAGATGTTTGTGAAAAATGTTTTCTCTGTTTTGGAGGGATGCACACTGTTAAACTGTACCCTATTTATTGCATCAAATGCAAGGGGTGGATAATTTTATCAGTTGTTTATTGATCATGCAACAATAAATATTACTGTTATAGTTTTCATTAACAACCATTGCTATATAGATGATAACTTTGTCTAGTGCTCTTATGAATGTTTTAGCATGATTTGTGAAAATGTAACTACTATACTGAATGACATAGCATAGACTTCTTCATGGCTAGTGTTTGCGTAGGCTATTTCATTTCATTCCGTAACCTACTTGTTCAACATATCTGTGTACTAATGTTAAATGCTACCGTTTCTGACAGCATTGATAACGTTTCTGACAGATAATATTATATTTTTGCGTTTCCCTAACCGAACATGCTATCCTGTCAGCAATAACCTATTTGTGTTTTTTTCACTGTCAGTGTAAGTGCTGATACAGTGTTGCCAGATATTGCTATAAAAACAAAGAAAAAACGAAAAATAAATAAAAAATAAACCGAAATTATTTCAAATCTTTGCAAATGAGATAAAAAAAGATATAGCTGACTCTAAACTTTAACATCCCACTTTAACAACTTTCTAAAGTGTCAAATTAAGTGGAAAAGACAAGTCCAAAAACCCTAATAATAGCTGGATCTGGCAACACGGAGGCTGCGCGCCCACCCCCTCACTCACAGCTCTCTCAAGACTTGTTCACTCCACCAGCATCTCGCAGCGATCATTTTCATACCACGGACGCTAAACAATCTTGCAAAATGTCTAAACTGATACATACAAACATTCATATGAGGAGTTTTAAACAGCAAATTAGTCATTCAGAGAACAAATTTTATTTTTGAACATAAAAAATTTACAGAGATCCGGACCTCTGTAGCTGGGCCTGGGTGAACTTACTGCAAGGTCAAACCGATATGTGTTATGAATGATGAAACTATGAATTGATATTATGTTGCAACTTTTCTTCCCAAAATATTTAGATTAATTAAAACCAACGAAAATTTTATTTAAGTAAACTTAAGAGTGAACATTGTTTAAAATAATTATTCATTTAATGTCTATATTAAATATATTGTATTGTTTTGAAAGAAGTCTCTGATGCTCACCAAGGCTGCATTTATTTAATCAGAAACAGCAAAAATAGTAGGGCTGGGTAAAAAAATATCGATATCTCGATTTTAATCGATTTGAATTTTTACGAAACGATATCGATTCTTAAATCCCAAGAATTGATTAGTCTAGCCTGTTTTCATGATGGAATATTGAAGCGCACCTCCCATCCAATAAATCGTAATAAGCATTGTGCGTTGGTACTTTTAATATGAAACAAAGTCTCAGATTTCAATTTATGTCCAACGTATTGAAGTATTCAAACAATAAATGCCGTTTTGGCGCTGTTTAATGTGGAGTGACAGATCGCTGTAGCGCCTCAGTTCAACAGACGCTACAGCAGCACATAGCGCACGTGAATCGATCATCTCCTCCACATTAATACCAGTTTCAGCACAAAATAAACATGACTAAACATCCGAAGGTAAGTTAAAAGAAAGAGTACAATACAACTTTACAATCCATATCCTGTCTCATGTAATCGCTCAATCAGTGTTTCAGCCGCGCAAAGACGTCAATATAACAGCTTGTAAACTATTCATGTAACATCACATTTACAAGCATATTCAGTGACCATAAACTCGTTAGTCAGCTAGAAAAATAAACTGTAGAGAGGATAATTTTGCTAAATATATGCACCATATAACTGAATATAAATATTCATTATAATTATAGTTTTTATGACAGCCACTATTGAAATGTGTATATTTAAAAAAAAACTAACTGAAGTAACTGTAACTTAATTATTATAAAAACTTTATTAAGTGCAATTTAAGCAATTGTACAGCACAAATCAGTCAATTTTATCCTTCAATATTTTAATGCAGTACCAACTGACTCATGTATATTTTACAGCATTGAGAGATTTTTTTTTCCTTGAGAAAATTTGGCATGTACTAACAGTACCTGATATGTTTTCAAAATAATCAATATTGAATCAAATCGGTAATCGAATCGAAAGCTTGTGAATGAGAATCGAATTGTGAAATTTGTGTCAAAACCCAGCCCTAAAAAAAACAGTAATATTGTGAAGTATTATTACAATTTAATTAACAGTTTTTGATTTCAATATATTCTACATACAATTTATTCTTGTAATGGCAAAGCTCAATAGAGGTCGACCGATTAATCGCCCGATTTTTGGCATTTTTAATTAATCGGCATCGGCCAATTGTGCTGCAAATTAGGCCGATTTATAGTGGGTGTGCCTCACACGTCCTGAAAAGTGAAGCTGCGGGCTCGTTGATCGCCCCCTGGTGGCTGGCTGAAGTACAGGTCATAAACCCCGCTTTCTCCATGTAAACGAATGGGACTAACTATTAAAAAATTTATTACACTTCCAAAACAATTTTCTGAAAGATGGTTTTGGTCATTTAAGGTAGTTGTTAACATGCTGATATATGTTAAATTGTTCGTTTTTGAGATAAGTTTGATTTTAGCTAGTAATTTGATGCTATAAAAGCAGGGCGTGTCGTTCTGGTTGATTGGGTCTGCGGGAGTTTGATACCGCGGCTCCACCTCACGACACTACTGTGCAGATTCTGGCTCCAAATGACGTCATTTACTCAAGATGGCAGCGGCCATACTGAGATGCTTTGGCTTCACTTTTCTATAGTGGAAGGAATAGGAGACGCGTCGTCCATCATTTTTTACAGTCTATGATTTATAGGCAGGCGCATCTGCGGGCAGCTAAGTGTTGTTGCTGAACGCCGGAGAATCCCTCTCCCTGAGGTTGCATGAGACGGAGCAGTTCACACTAGGGATGGGCGGATCGATCCTCAAGTATCGATACTGATGTTGTATCGAAAGGATCGATCCTCACATAAAAATATCGACTCTAAAGTGAATTTAACCATTAATTTTATTTATTTGTCAAGAAATTCACTGCATAAAAGAAGCTTCTAAGTGGAAAAATAGACTATATTAGTGAATAATTGTGTTGAATAGAACCATTTCTCCTGCTCATCGGAACACACGCAATTGCTGAAAGACAGAACCAATCAAATCACAGACAGCGTTCACTGCTGACGCATGGCTCACAGTGCTTGTTCAAATAGGGCTGCATTTCCCAAAAGCATCAGAAGCACAAGTAGATCTATAGAAACAACTGCCACATTATTACATTACATAACATTGTTACTATATATAAAATTAATTCTGAAAAATGCATGACGGTCAGAAAAAAAAATGCTAAAGTTTCACCTTTAGGGGTACAACTGCCTGGCAGCCTTTTACAAAAATTAACCATGGTTTCATTACAGTAACCACAGTTTACCATGGTAATAATAATAATACATTTTAGTAGGCTACTTATGTAACACCATGTTTATTTTTCTTGAGGTACCCTCAAAGGTGCACCTTTGTAACTTATATACCCTTAAAGCATGCATACTTGTATGGTACTAATATGCTCCCTTTCAGGGGTATCGTTGCACCTGTGAGGCTACTGCCCCAGTAAAGGGCTCAAATACAATTATAGCATATTTTATTTCTGACAGTGTAAACAAAAAAGGCCTATGAAATGTTACAAAAACGTGGCTTTAAAATCTAAAATTAAGTGAGTATAATTACTGATTATATTCTTTTAATAATTTAAAAGATCAATTTAGTTTATAGGTCATTTGCATGTGAAAGTAGAAACATGTTCAATTCAGACGAAACTTTGGGGCTGGCTAAAACATGCATGTTAACTTTCCTCATGAAATGTGTGTGTGGGTCCGACAATAGCCTCCACCATGTCATCGCTCGTGGCCAGTGCAATAGTGTGAAATCTTTTATTTTTGTTATCACTATGGCCATTTGACTTATAGCAGTGTACAGTGCTTCCCATACATTGAGTTATTTGCAGTGTTGGGGGTAACGCATTACAAGTAACGCGAGTTACGTAATCAGATTACTTTTTTCAGGTAACTAGTAAAGTAACGCATTACTTTTTAATTTACAAGAGTATATCTGAGTTACTTTTTCAAATAAGTAATGCAAGTTACTTTTTTTTTTTTTCAATTTATTGACTGACAGCTCTCCGGTCCTCATGTTGAGAGAAATCAGAAGATGTTACTGTAGCTCTAAAATAAATATGAATATGCATTAATTCATCTCACTCACACAAAAAACACAGATTCAGTATTCCTCAAAATGAATAAAAATAATGCAACTCAGAATATGCAATAATTAAATGTTAAACAACACAAATATCCTTTATGTATTTAATCCATTCATTAACCGATGTCTTCGATGATCCAGTTCAACCGT